AAAAAGGAAATGAATGGTTAAAGGGGCCTTAATGGTGGAAAAAAAAATTCTTTTTAGGCTTTTAAAAAAATTAAAAATTTTAGGGGGTAAAAAAAAAAATGTTTTTAAAAATATTGGGTTTTCCCCACTTTAAAAAAAATTTTTTCAAAATTTTTTTTAAAAATTTTTTTTTTTTTAAAAAAGCCATCCCTTTTTGGTGGTTTTACAAATAATAAAAAAAGGTTTTTTTTTTTTTTTTTTTTTTTTTTTTTTGGGATATTTTATAATAAAATAAAATAAAATTAAAAAAAAAAAAAGAAAAAAAATTAATTTTTTTTTTTTTTATAAATTTTTTTGAAAATAATGAAAAAATATTTTGAAAATAATTGTAATTTTATTTACTTGTAAAAACCGAGACAGAAAAACAGCAAATAATTTTAGACATAAAACAAAAAAAATAAAAATTTATGAAAATAACAACCTTGGCTATTTTATTGTCGAATTACAAACAGATATTTTAGTAGAACGATAAATAGATAGAATAATAATTATAAATATGCATAAAGAATAATAATTAATAATAAAAATTAATTAATCAATAATAAATACTATCCACATTAGCAATAGTTTATTACCAACATGTTTAGTGAGGCTACTTGACTACAATAGGCCTCTTGTAAAGAATTCAACTCCACCAAATATCAAGCTTCCATCACTCAGATCTATCAATTGGTATTTAGTAAATTTTATGAGCAATCTATCTTCTCTTCCATCCTCGATTAATCATTTGGAATTATCCAGCTTTACAGCACAAATGATCATCCTCAGTTAAAACAAACCCATCCAAATTAATTAGAAAAAAAAGTTTAATAAAAACCCACCCACACCAAAAAAAAAAAAAAAAAAATTTTTTTTGAAAAAAAATTAATTTTTTTTTTTAAATTTTTTTTCTTTTTATTTTTTTTAAATTATCAACACATCAACACACAATAAATAATAATAATGCCATCAAATAAAAGAAAATTAGAAAAATTAGAAACAGAATTTAGTGAATATAAAACTAAAACAGAAAATGAATTGCAATATTTAAAAAATCAATTAAAACAATTAACAGATTTAAATCTAATAAATAATAATAGAGACAATAGTAGTAATAGTGATAGTTATAATAATATTAATAGTATTAATAATAGTATTAGCAATTCAAATAATAATAATAATAAAATAATAATAAAAAGAGATAATGAAATGTTATTTTTTTTAGTCTGGAGGAATGTTTTTATTTATTGTGAAATCAAAAGACATATGGATTTATTTAAAAAATATAATAGAGTAAAAATTGAAAAAGAAGAGCATCTTTTGCATCATCCATATAGAGAATATATTTCAACAGTATATTATAATTTTGATGCACCAATTTCAAACTATATAATCCCAAAAAGTGTTATCAAGATCGAATTCTCTGAAAAATTTAAAAGAGAAATTAGTCCTGGTAATTTAATCGGTACAAATGTTAAAGAGTTAGTGTTTGAAGAATATAATGTTCCGCTAGTTAAAGATGGTATACCCAAAACAATTCAAAAGATATCAATGAAAAGTTATAATCATCTCCTTAGACCGGGTGACCTTCCAGCGGGTTCTCTAAGAGATTTAGGGTTGCTTTTGTACGATAAGCCATTAATGGTTGGGTCTATACCAATGGGACTAGAGGCTTTAGAATTGTATTGCTTTGATCAACTGATTTTGCCAAATGTATTACCCGTGTCACTTAAAAGCTTTAAAATCAAGAATTTTGGCACATATATGGCTTCTATTTTACCAAATGTATTACCCCCATCAATAGAGACTCTTAGTTTGGATGGATTTAAAGACTGTCTTTGTGGAATTATACCGGCATCAGTTACATCTTTGGAGCTTAGAGACTACAACAAAGAGTTTGAAAAATACGCAATACCCCCAAGCGTTAAAGAGTTGTTTCTTTGGGATTACAATGAACAAATTCAAGACGAAAATAATGAAATCTTACCAGAATCAATTAATACTCTGGGATTAGGCCGATACACTCACCCATTGCTAGAGTTACCACGCAGTATTACAAGTTTAAGTATATCGCTTCCCTATAATAAACAATTGCCAGCATTAGAAATTCCTGCAAATATTTGCACATTAAAGCTTCGAGAATTCAAATCACCTCTTAGAGCAAATGATCTTCCACCAACAGTCACCGAGCTTGATGTTGGTGATCACTATAACCACCCTATCTTGGCCAACTCAATTCCACTCTCAATTAGAAAAATCACCTTTGGTTTATTATTTGAACAACAAATACATATCAACACCATTCCTCCATCGGTTCAAATACTCTCATTCAGAAATAAAAAGATGAAATCACTTGTATCAAAAAATTCATTATCCCCAAATACAAATTTAATTTTAAAAAAATAAAAAAAAGTAACAAATTTTAAAATTAATATTATCTATAAAAAAGATTAAAGAATTATTTAAAATTTAAAATGGATATTACAAAGAAGCCTCAATAATTTTTATCAACCAACCAAAAAAAACAATATCCCCCAATACAACACTAAATAAAAAAATTAATAAAAAAAAAAAAATAAAAAAAAAAAAAAAAATAAAATCCTTAATTTATTTTTGTTGATGTTGCCAAGATATTTTTTTAAAAAAAAAAAAATGATCAAAATAAAAAAATGGTCAAAATAAAAAAAATGGTCAAAATAAAAAAATGTTAAAATTAGAATTTTTTTTTGAATTTTTTTTTTTTTTTTGGTTTCAAAATTTTATATTATGACTATTCTTTAACTTACAAGACTCTCCCAAGGAAAGAGTGATCAGGACAGAAAAATGTTGTAATCTTAATCAAAACCTCAAAAAAAAACATCAATACTTTATTATTTTTTTTTTACAAAATTATTTTTTTATTTTTTTTTTCATATATATCATTTTTTTTTTTTGTTTGTGTGTTGTGTGTGTGTTAATTGTTTTGTAAAATTATAAATAATACAAAAATACAAATTTATAATGATTATTTAATCTTCATTTTTAAAGTTCAAAAAAAAAAAATAATAATAAAAAAAAAAAAAATACAAATACATATTATGTATATATAATGGAGAAATATGGAACAAGTTACACAGAAAATACTTTTAATCCATCAATTTCATCCATAGAAGAAGTAGAGATCATTAGATATGATGTCGAAAGAAAGTTATTAAAAAAAGAAGTTGCATTGGCCCAAATTGGAAGCAAAATTGGGAGCGGTGGGATGAGGTCGGCATACCATTTGACCCTAGTAAAATCAAATATTAAATGTGTTTTAAAGATTCAAAAACACTCACCTTTGGGGTTCAAGGATTTAATTAGAGATAATCTATCTGCTGAAACTGCTCATAAGTATGCTAAATTATTTAATGATAAAAATCCACCAAAGAAGATTACAATTAATAGACCTTTTATACTATGTTTTATAAATAGGTAAGTGTTTAATTATTTTCATAATTATTATTATTAAATTGGTTATTAATTGTAACTTTGTCTATTCTACTAAAACTTTATTAGGCCAGGTAGACCCATAGCACAAATAGAATTGTTTTTAGAGGGTAGTTATAAAAAATATAATACAAATACTGGATATGTCGATAATGATAGAAATACACCTCAAGCATTCAGTCATTTTACATTTGTGGCATCAAATAAAACTGAATTAGTTGTTGATATTCAAGGAGTCAATGATTGCTATACAGATTTACAAATTCATACAAAAGAACCAAATAAATATGGACAAGGGAACCTTGGTCAAAAAGGAATTGATTCTTTTTTTCAATCTCATAAATGTAATCCTATTTGCAAGTGGCTTGGAATTTCTCAAAACCAAACCAATCAAATATCAAGAAAGCCTTCAAATCATTATGAAAATCAAAATAATTTAAATAATAGCAATAATAGTAATAATAGTAATAATAGTAATAAAAGTAGTAATAGTAATAATATGAATAATATGAATAATATGAATAATAACATGAATATGATTAATAATTTTAGCAGTAATAATTATAACAATAATAATGTTTATAACAATTATAATATGAACAATAATAACTGTTTTGACTATAACCAGAATTTTTATTATCAACAACCACCAATACAACCAAAGTACGATATTAATATAAATTTAAATAATCAAAATTACCCTCTATTACAACACAATCAGTACAACCATTTTGTTCAGCAATTCCCCCCAAATTTTAATAATAATCTTTTTAACTCCAATAATAATCTACAGGTAACACCCCAAATGTATCAGCCATATGATCGAACAACCTTTCAAAATGAACCACAGGCCTTATGGTTACCGCAACTTCAGCAAAATTTAAAACAGGAAATTAACCATTATCAACAAAAACAACAATATGATGTTCAAGTATTACCACCCCAATATAAAGACATTAAACAAAAATTACCACATAAAAAACATATTTTAAACGCAGAACATAAACATATATTTGGACTATTAGATAAAAGTAAATATCTTTGTGTTTTTTGTCAAAAACAATTTAATAGTGAAATGTATATGTGCATTAGTTGTAAATTAACTTGTTGTGATAATTGCTCATCAAGTAGGTATTAATTTTTTACTTTAAACTTTAAATATAATACTAATATTATTTTTATTTATTTTAGTTTTAAATATAATGGATTTGTAAAACTTGTAAATAGGAAAACAGAATTTAGAAATGTAAAATAAAAAATTTAAAAATATTTAAGAAAAATAAAATTGTATCTATTTTAAAAAAAAAAAAGTTTATTTATAAAATTTGTTTTGTTGATGGATTAAAAATTATATAAAAAATAAAAACCTTTGATTGTATTTAACAACTAAAGCTATTATTATTATTATTGTTATTATTATTACTTTTTTTTTTTTTTTTTTTTTTTTTTTTTTTTTTTTTTTTTTTTTTTTTTTTTTTTTTTTTTGTTTTTTTAACTTTTTTTATATTTAAATTTGTATATTAGGTTTATCTTTGGTTTCATTATTTGTTAATGGTTGACATTATAAAGATAGTGGAATATTGTTTTCGTCTTTATAATATTTTTTTAATGATTTTAATTTTTCAATAATTTCCTTAAAAGATGGACGATTTCCAGGGTTTCTATGGATACAGGATAGAATAAGAGCTAACCAATCATCAAAGCATTTTGAAAATGATGAAAGAGTCTTATTTTCAATAAGAAATTCTTCCCATTGAGCATATGTATTATGTTGAATTGGTGGGTATTCTAATGTTAATATTTCAATTGCCAAGATTCCAAAAGAAAAGACATCAGATTTTTCGTCACAAGGGGATTCACCATCATATATTTCCGGAGCCATATATAATACATTTCCAATAATTTTATTGAAAAATCTTTTTTCATTTTTTATTATGCCCAAACCAAAGTCAGAGATTTTACAATAATTTTTTTTATTTGAATTAAATTTGTTCAAAAGCAATATATTGGAGGATGATAAATCTCCATGAATAATGGGTGGTGTACAGTTATGCAAGTAGCCCATACCCTTTGAGATTTGCATGATGATCTTATGCGTAGTTGAAGGTTTAATATTTAATTGGTCAGTTAATAAGTGTTTCAATGTGCCACCTTTCATCAACTCGAATGCCATTATATATTTTTCAGATGCAGAGGCTCCGTGGAATTTGACAATGTATTTTGAATTGATTTTCTGATTGATATGAACTTCATTAAAAAAATAGTAATTTGGTTGTTGAACTTTCATTGCCACATCTTGATTATTGTATCTAGTATAGTAAACTTTACCAAAGAATCCTTCACCCAAATAAAAGTCACTTTTAACAATCTTTTTTAAATCTAATACGAACGATTCTAAGATTTTGGGGACACTAATATTGAAGATATTCGTAGTTGAAATATTTTCATTTCTTGTTACAATTTCATTGATTGTTTCTTTATGGGCTTCTTTATTTTTAATTGAAATATTTTCATAGCTCATTTTTTATTAATTATATATGATAAAAAAAATTAATGAATAAAATATAATTTAGAAAAATAAAAAAAATAATATATATAAATATATAAATATATATAAATAAAAAAAAAGTTTTTATAAAATTATTTATTTATTTTTTTTATTTATGATTTGTTGTTGTATAAATAATTTTTAAAAAAAATAATGATAATGCGACTATCACTTAACTTTAATATTACTATTAATTTTTTAAAAAAAAAAAAAATTAAATAAATAAAATTAATATTAAATTTAATATTTAATATAATAATAACTTAATTTTTTTTATTAATGCACTGTACACATAAAAAAATTGATTGAAATAACAATTCATAAATTATTTTTATAAAATTTGTGAGGAAAAAATATATTTTTTTTTTTTTGGCTCTATTGTGTGTGATATACCCCTAAAGAAACTTAAACACTTCAATCACTTAACACATTAGCACATAACCAAAAAAAAAAAACCTATATAAAAAAAAAAAAGAAAATATAACAAACAACACCCACACCCACATTCACACACAAAACACATTACCAAACAACAACAACAGACATAATAATAATTATAACATATTGTTTTCCGTAGCACATTAAATAATATATCTACAAAAAAAAAAAAATTTATCAGCTCTAAATTTCCTTTTTATATGTTTGTTCACACAAAAAACATGATTATAATAAATAAAAAAAAAATAAATAAAAAAAAAAAAGAAAAAATAAAAAAGATAATGAAAAAAATTTATAAATTTTTTATATTTCTAAAACCTAAATTTATTTGATGTTTTCTATATATTTTAAACTTTGATTGAATGTATTAAATTTTTTTTATTTATCCCACACTAACTATTCATATTATTGTTATTATTTTTTATTATTGTTGTTATTATTATAGTTTATAAATTTTTTTTTTTATAAATATAAATAAATACCCCTTATTTATTTATATTTATAAATCAAAAACTATAATTTTTTAAATATAATTTAATAGTATGTATTAATGCAAAAATTAGTTTGTATTATCTTTTACTTATATTAATACTTGTTTTATTTTTTATAGAATAAGATTCAACAAAGAAACTAGTTGATATTGTTTTGTCCAGTTTAATGTTAACTTCATCTGTTTCGGGTGGTGTTGCTGCTTCATTTGCTGAAGATCAATTACTTTATTTGTGGTAATAGTTTTGATCCATGCGGTGGCGGCTTCAATATTAGAAACTTAATTAATTTTGATATTTATATTGGTCATCTTAAAAGATTCTGTTTAGAAAAGTCACACATGAACTGATATTTGCAGATCATTTTGAACATTAAAAAAAAAAAAAAAAATTTATAAAAAAAAAAATTTTATTTTTATTTTTTTATTTTTATTTTTTTATTTTTAATTTTTTTGATCATAACCATTTTTTATTTTTTTATTAAAAATTCTATATATAAATAGTATTAGAACCATTTTATTTTTATTTTCCTTTGAAAGAAATAATTGTTTATTTTATTTTATTTTTATTTATCTAAAAAGTAATATTGTATTTCAGGACAATTGACACACACACATATTATAACACACACATGTATTAATAACATTGTGCGCACCAATGTTAATAAATTTTTATTTTTTTTTAATAATATAAATTATTTTCAATTTTCTTTTTTTTTTTTTTTTTTATTTTTTTTTTTGTAACAATTTAAAATTTTTTATATTAATTTAATTTTTATTGTAGTATAGTTTTTTTTTTTTTTTAGCTAAGAAAATATTTAGGATAATTTTTTTTTTATTTGGTAAGAAAATATAATATATTTATATATAGTTTATATATACTAATCAATTCTAAATATTTAAAGTAATAAAGAATGTTTAGAAACTGTAAAATTAATGAATCCGACGCATCGCGTCCAAAACCATCCCATTCCAAAGTAGAGATTGATGCCATTCCAAGCAAAGTCTATATTGACCCATATGTTTTCCAAGCAAGAAACATTGGTAGTCAACAACTACAAAATGACCGTGGTATGGTCAACAATGGTAATACCATTTAAAAAAGAGAAGAAAAGATTTTATTTAATAAAAATGTATTGTTGATTAGCAATTATTAAACAATCAAATGTAAATATAACAACAACAATAATAATGATTGTAATAATAATAATAATAATAATAGTGGTTATTATAATAATAATAATAGATAATCAAAAATAATAACATATTCAAGTAATTAGAAGAATATAAATAAGCAATGGAAAATTAAAGCAACTAATCAAATAAAATGGTTAGGAACAATTTCAAATAAAACATCCTGCAAAAATACCTTTTAAATTAAATAAAAACTTTAACTCTTATATAAAATTCTGCTTTTTTACTATTAATACTATTTAATATTACTTTATTACTATTACTATTGCTATTTTATTTACAATTTTTATTGTTTTATTAAAAAACTTTATTATCTAAAATCTTTTGAATTTCTTTTAATCTTCTATTACGGTTGATTATATAAATACCTATAGAAATAATTGGAACCAATCCAATACTACCACAAATTACAATTGCTGGAATGATAGATGTTAATTTACTAGATTCTGTAGCATATGATGTTTCATCGACTGTTATTTGTGAATATAAGTAGAAAAGATTTTAAATTAGTAGACTGGTTTTATTACTACAGGTTATTAAATAATCTATATAGATTAATAAACTGATACTTACAGTAATAGGTAAAATTATTTTTAATGAAACCTGTTTGACCATCGACTGTTACCTTAATATCAAAGGTTTTATTTTCATATTGCGATCTTAGACTATTATCTACAGCTTCTAGCATACATGTAATGGTATCGAATGTGTGATAGATAATTGGCCATTTACATTCTGCACCACCAACATATACTTTAAGTCCAATTCTATTGAAGTTTTCGCCGATAATATAAATGGTTTTTCTACCTAAACCATTGGAACCTGGCGAACCATAAACAATAGGTGAATTGAATGAAAATGTTATATTGTTTGGATTGATAGCATTTCTTCCTTTAATGCTCATAAAAATGGTATGATTTGCACCTGATGTTGTTTTTCTTTCACCTGCACCATTTTCCCCTATTTGAGAACCTGAAAAACCATAGACTTGGCATTTCAATACCGAGTTATTATCAGAGACTGTGATGTTGTTACAAGGAATGCCAGATGGTGTTCCCCTTTGAGATCTAAACGAGATTGCTGCTCTTTCACTAAGATGATGACCTGTTATTGTTACTTGGCCACCACTTGCTGGAATTGATGTAATATTTAAGATGGTTGGTTTTACTGCAAACTCTACATTTGAAAGTACATTTTGATGATTTGATGAACCAACATATATATTAAAATAATTTAGACCATTTAATGTTTCTGGTATAAGAAATTGTAAACTTGTATCATTTGCATTTAAAACATTAATTGGGGATTTATCTGATGATACGATTGATATCTTACTGGGATCTGCTCCAAAGTTTTCACCATAAAATGTTACATAGCCGGTATAGTTTTGATTCAAAGAGCTGATAACTGGACTATTGTAGCTAAAATATAATGGATTTTGATTTTGATATCCATTAATATCGATTGATACAGACAAATTCTTACCAACACCCGGACCCATTAAGCATGTAATATTAACCCCATTTGTACTGATTGGATTTTTACATTTTGCCTTAGTATCTACACCGTCGCTTACATAGATAGAGGCTGACATGTTTACCGTTTTGGAGCCTGAGTATTTTTCAGTATGTACTGATATACCAGAGATGGTAACAATTTGACCGTTTGTATTCGATTTTGTAATACTGTTAAATATTGGTTTAAAAGATAAATCACCAATGTTTGAATAAATATTTTCACCAACGTTCTTTGAAACTATGACAATATAACCTGGATATGCATTCAATGGAACCCCAACAACCATTTGAGTTTCATCTTTACTTTTAATTGAACAATTATAATCTATAATATTGCCATTGCTTGGTACTTTTACATTAACCATAATGATAGAGTCATCATTTAAATATTTTCCATTGATTATGAATTGTGCATCACCACTTGTTGGGAAAGTTGTTTGTTTAACTGTTGAAATCGAAGGACTATCATAAGAAAAGTTTATATTTGCGGTGTAGAGCTGGTCAATTGTTAAAACAAAATTTAAATTTTTCTTTTGTTCATTATCATTCGAAGGAGGCATACTGCATGTTATAGTTCCATTGGTAAAGTCATAATCAATGACTACACATTTCTTATTATATGGGAGAGTGATACTGTATCCAGACAAGTTTTTTTTTCCAGAGGGATCAGGAATATCGAGAGATCTTGAATATAAATTAACACCATTGAGTGTTACATTACCACCATCCTTTGCTGAAACCGATGTGACTCCATCTATAGATGGTACATTATTTAATACTATGGGTGGGGTATCTTTTACTTGGGAGTCACACACAGACAAGCTTATGGTCCATTTGCCGCAATACATAATTTGTTGAACTGTAAAGTAACCAGAATCCATACTATCGTTAATTGATGTAATGTTTTGTTGAGCTGAAAAATTGGGACCATTAATCATGATTTTTGGGTTAAAAAGATTTGAACCAACCAATATTATATTGTTGATCTTTACATCTTTTCTAAAATCGACAATTGTTGATGGCTTGTAACTACCAGAATATAATTTATTATTTTTACCCCACAATTCGAATTTACCACACCCTTTTGGAAAATTGGTAAATGTAAACAATCTAGTGTCATTGTTATATTTAAAATTTAGAAATATATCACCATTTTTAACTGTCTGAATAACGCCAAATTCATCAGATAAAAAGGCACCAGTAAAATTTGATTCACCACCATAAGCTGCAGGACTATCTACTGAGTCGATGTAAGGTTCTGACGGAATATCTACTGTGCATTCATTGGTTCCTTCTAAAAATATATAACCATTTGATAAGTTTGAAAGCTCTAAAAAATTTTGTGAACCAGTTTTAGTGAGTGGATAATTTAAAATAGTTGGTTTATTTGAAAAATCCTTTAAAACAATTAAACTACATGATGCAATTGACTCTGGACAATTTAATGTTGTGTTACTTGTGATTTGACAGATACCATAAATAAATACGTAATATTGGTTTAAAAGAAAAAATAAAAATAAAAAATTAATTTTCATATTTTTTTTTTTTGATATTTCCAATTTTTTTTTGATATTTTTAATTTTTTTTTTTATTTTTATTTTTTATAAAAATGTGTGTGATTATTTAAGAAATAATTTATTAAACATATTCTATGTAAGAATATTTTAGAAATTAAATATTTATATATGTAAAATAATAATACTATTTTTTTTTATTTTTTTTTTTTTAAAAATATATTTTTAATATTAAAAAAATCTTCATTCAAAATATTTTTTTTTAAAATATATATTTAATATTAAAAAAATAAATATCCAATAATAATAATACTTTCACATTAATATTAATTTTAAAAATAGCTTTTTTTTTCTTTTTTATTTTAATTTAATTTTGTTATAATGTGGTGTTGTAATTTTCATCAAATTTGAATATTTTCCTTTTTGATGTGGGAGTTGTAATTTTTTTTTTTTTTTTCTATTTTTTTAAAAAATTATTATAAATAAAATACATTTTATATGGGAAAAACTATATATAATTATATATATTAAATTACCCCCACCCACACAAATATATTAAAATATTTTCTAACGTATTTAAATTAGCACACATTTGTGCACATATTTGTGCACTAATATTTAAATTGATATTTAACCCTCCCCCGCATATCAAATATTAAAAATAAATACCATTTAAAAATATATCTCAACTACAAAATTGTTTTTTTTTTTATTTATTTTGATTTTTTTATTTATTCTTATTATTTTTTTTTTTTTTTTTTTTTTTTATGAAATTAAAAATAAATAAAAATAATCAAATTCTTTTTTTACATTTATCAAAAAATAAATCAACACCTTGTATTTAGTGTGTTTAATATTTCAAAATGAAAAAGTTAATAGGTATATTGTTTTTAGTAACCATACAAATTTCTATGTTCTTATGTATAGGTAATTATTTTATATTTTAAAAAAAAATCTTTTTATTTATTTAATAAAAATATTAATTAAATTTATTTTTTTATTTTTTTATTTTTTTATTTATTTATTTATAGAGATTCATTCGAAGGGTAATAAAGCCGAAGTACTTTTATTCAGAGACTTTGAATATCTCCCTATTAATATGACCCTTTATAAAGATGTAGACTTTAAACTACCATTTACCACGATCTACTACAATTGGAGTGAAGCCTTTTTTAGAGATCCCTCCTACTTTATCAATGCTACTGCATACTCTACAAATAGTTCGCTATATTGGGGATCAAGAATGAAAGCTTGTGCAAGGCACAATGCCAAAAACATTACCGTTTGCGATTTCCAAAGTAATGACTTTTACGATAGTATGTTTAGAGCAACCAATGTAACATTCCTTACTAATCCTCCAACAAGAGGTGCTATAGTCAATATATCCGGAGAATACATGAGATGTGGTTGTAGAGATTTAAATAAACTATTGATTTACAAACCAGGCACTTACAGCGAATATGTTTATACCTATGTGGCCGGTGATCCTTATGACCCCTATTACAATCCAAACCTTCTTACCGCGACAATTATACCTGGTTATGGGAAAGGAAAAGTATGCTTCGACTTTAATAGAGGTCAATGTGCCTTTTTTTATTACCAATCACCAACAATTTCATCCACTCTATATGATGCATCGAATCAGCAATTAACAATTAATGGTGCCAATTTTTTCAACTCATCCAACGCAGCTTCCATATTAATAGACAATGTACCAATAAACTCCAGTGAAATAGTATCTATCGATCACGAGCTAATTGTACTCAACTTCACTTTCAATTACACCCAATCCTTAAATCTTTCTGTCTCAATCGGTATATTATCAGCCAATAAACCTATCGAAATTCCACCAAACCCAACATCCTATTCTACCAATATCACACAATATAACGAAGGTATAGTTGTAATCAACGGTACAAACCTCATTTCGTCATCAGACCAAAATAATATTGTCATAACAGTCGACAATAAACCATGTACAGCAACTCAACCTTTTGATACCACATCCATCACCTGTAAACTCTCGAATGAAGCAGCAGATACAAAACAACATCAACTAAAATTATGCGTAAATAATATTTGTTCATTGAAAAACTTAGTATTTGAATATGCAAAACCTTTTATAGCATCAATTACCCAAAACGGCACAAGCTTCTCTGTAAGAGGTACAAGCCAAGGTAGTACCAAACACAACTCTACTGTATTGGAAATTACATATAACACCAATCAAAAGATTACTATATTACCAAACTCTATCTCACCTGATGAAACTATTGCCGAGTTCACCGTTCCATTCTTTTGCGGAAATGCAAGCGCACAATTAATTGTAAATGGTGTTAAATCGAACCAATCCCCAATTACCCCAGAACCATTTATAAAACCAATATCATCCCCATCAACTGATGGAAAGAACCCATTAAATGTTTTACTTTATTACTATGATTGTAAATACTATAACAATAAACCAGTATTGAAATATTTAAGCATGCAAGTGACTGGTGAAAACGCTAACAATACCTATTCATTTAACGTTAAACAAGGAACTGGTAAAAAACAAGCCCTCATCACATTTGCTGATAAAGATATCCCTGTAGAATATTCATATGCTAAAGCATTAGTATCAAATCATAGTGTAGTATTTGATGATCCTCTAAGTACTGTTACTCTTAATGGAAATAATTTCGGTACAAACTCATCTTTGTGCAATCTTACCTATAAAGGTGTTTCAAAAACATGCGTCGTTATAAATGATTATCAAATTAGTTTCAAAATCGATGTTTTAGAAATCTCTGCAAATATTGTGATCACAATTGATGGTATTCAATCTGATAACTATACCATGGAACTAGTAAAATGCCAACTTGCAAATGACCATTCGTTTCCGACCTCTTTTGGGTGCCTCTCTTCGAATCCTGTAGTTCAATACTATTGCGACAGTTTAACCACATTCACTGCAAACACCGACCCATATAAACTTTTACATGCCACTTTTGATGATCAAAATACAAATATAACTATTAATGGAAATAATGTTTCAATACCAGTTAAAGAAGGCGCAAAAACATCAACATTAAAATTATATTTAAATGGTTTGTTCTCCAAGTCATATAGTATTGTAAGAGAAAAAGGTATTGTTTACAATTCAAAACTCTCCTATAAAGAAAACAAAGGTTTGATAATATTGGAATTTAATGGAATGAATTTTGGAACACCTTTGGTTATTAACTTACCAACCCTTTTCAACACATCATTTGGTATGGACAACTGCACATTATCATATCATGGCACTGGTGATAACAAAAACTGCACCAATGATTTTATCAAATGTCAACTCACTCTACCAAATGATTTTAACAAGACTCTTTTAGCTCAGGATGAAACCACCAATACAACTCTTTCCATCCCATTCTCATTGAAGGTTGGTGACAGCTTTATTAACTCCACCATAAGCAACCTTGAAAAATCATCAAATGAAAAGAGCAAGAGAACAAAAACAATTGCATTAGCAGTAACCCTACCAATAGGTTTAACTTTACTTACTGCAGGTGGTGTATTTGGTGCTTGGAAATATCATCAAAACAAAATTGATAATAAAAAGAAGAAAAATATAGAAAGCAGTGACAGTAATATTAATGATGAAGAAAAAAAAAATTAAACTAAACCCTATCAAATAATCAAATAATCAAATAATCAAATGTATTTATATTTTTAAAATAAAATAATAAAAACCTTATTTATATAACTTGGTCATTTTTTTTTTTATTTAAAAAATACTAATCCGCAATTTAATTTTTTTTTGATCTTCACATAAAAAATATAAAATATTTAATTAAATATAATTAGGATAACAATTTAATTTAATAAATAAAAGTTATGGGTCAATATTTGTTTTGCAAAAAATAGATATATTCATTTTCAATTTAATCAATTTATTTTTTGACAGACCAATTAATTTATTTTTTGAAAGATTTATCAATAAATTTTTTTTTTAATTTTTTTTAAAAATTTTTTTTAAAAATTTTTAAAAAAAATAAAAATTTATTTATCAACTAAATAACAAAAATAAATAAATAAATAAATAGAAATAACAACATAAATGGACAAATATTAAAATCAACAAAAATAATATAACAACACAACAATAATAATAATAATAATAATAGTAGTGATAATAATAAGAAAAAACCATCACCCACAAAAGAAATGAACTCGGGTTAGTCTTGGCTATCCAGGTGAAAACACCCAATTTTCAAAAAATACACACAAACACACTCACAAATATTGAAACAAAATAAGTTTTTTTTTTTTTTTCAATTTTAATTTCTTTATAGTAATAAATAAATACAAATACAAACACAAATATAAATATAAATACAAAAAAATATTTTTTTTGTTTTTAAAAAATAAATAATAAATAATAAATAATAAATAATAAATAATAAATAATAAATAAATAAATAAATAAATAATTTTAGTATTATTATTATTTGTTTTTTTTTTTTTGTCTTAAAATTAACAAATAAATAAACTATAAATAAATTAAATATAATGAAAATAATATTTTTTCAAAGTTAATAATATAGAGTAAGATTTGAATTTATTTTATAACCATTTAAATTTAATTTTGTCATTACCAACCAAAATTTTTTTTTTTTTTTTAAATTTTTTAAATTTTTTTTATCATAATCACTCTCAGAATCTTAAGATATTTCGCTTTATTTTGGAAGAGTATTTCTATAATACCCTCTTTTTTTTATTTTACTTTTTTAATTTTTTTTTTCTAAACTATATTTTTTTATTTTTTAATAATTTATAATTATTTGTTAAACTATTTTTATATTATTATAAATAATCTAAATTTTTTATTTAATTTTAATTTCTCATCTTTTTCAAGAATATTTTTTTTTCAATTCACAACAAATAATTTAATAATATGTTAATATATACATTAATAATTGTTTGTTAAATTTATTGTGGTGTTTTTGTTTTTAAGAGTGTAAATTCTTCATTATTTTCTTTTTTTTAATATTTATATCATTGCACTAATTTTTCTCTTTTTTTCTATATTTAGTCAAAATTAATTTCATTGGTATCATAAAAATAATAAAATAAATAAAAAATGGATAGTTATAAAAGCTCAAACGATCTCATCAGTTATAACAATAGTATTGATAACTCAAATATTTACAATAGCTATGGCAATAATGACAACCATCTAAATAACGCCAGTGTCACTAACAACAATTCATCATCAAACAATAATAGTTTTTCCAATAATTTGAATGGTAGTTATTATACAAATGATAGTAATTCATTTGGTCAAAGTACTTACTATGTAAATAATAACAATTATAGTATTTATATTAAACAAGAAAACGAAGCAAATGGTAACAATAATAGTAATAGTTGCAATAGCAGTAGCAGTAGTAAAAGTAGTAGAAGCAGTAGGAGCAGTGCCAGTAGTGGAAGTACCATTAGCAGTACTAGTAGTGGAGTTAAAAGTAATAATAGTAATAGTGTAAATAGTAATAACAATAATAATATTAATAATATTAATAATATTAATAATAGTGGTTTGAATAATAATAATATAAATAACAATAATATGAATATAAATAGTATGAATAATATAAATAATAGTAATATGGATAGTATGAACAATAACTGTAACACTTCAATAATTAATAGTAATATTGGTTTTTCATTATTCCAATCATCACCACCACCCTGTGACTTAAACAGCTATAATGGCCTAGAATTAGATCCAAACATGGTATTCTCAAAAACTGGCATGAAGGTTGGAGAATTTATAAATCAATATCACAACTATATGGTTAGTCTTCAACAGTTCCAACAATTACAACAACAACAACAGCAACAACAACAACAACAAAAATTAAATACAAATAACAATAATAGTAATTGTAACAATAGCAGCAACAACAGTAATATTATGAATCACCAATTTTGTGAATCGCCACCACCACAAAGTTATTCTCCAATCACCTCATATGTACCATCACCCCAATCTCAACCATTCCTCTCATCACCATCAAGAGTAATGCAATCACCATCACCACAACAAAATTTATTTTATACAAATAATAGTAATGATATTTATAATGTTAAACAAGAATATAATATTGATAATAAAAACCAATTGTAATAGTAATTTTCAAAATAATAATATAAACAGTAATAATAGTATCATAAAAAAAGAAAATGTTAGTATTATGGTTGTAAATACCTTTGATACACCATTTCCAACTTATACAGTTAAAGGTCATGTTTTAGTTCCCCCACCAGTTGTTGAAGTGGTCGGTTATAAAGGAGAAGCAAGTGATTTGATTGTGGTGGCTATTTCAGAACCTGAATCAATAATTCTTTCACAAGCCGCTGTTTCATCTAATGATGGCACTTTCAAGTTTAGGTTCGCTGATATGCGTATAGATAGAAAGAAGCATGATCCAACCAGTTCATTCTCAATCCGTTTCGATGTTATTATTAGAAAAGTAATTAAAGCTATAAGTAGTGTCATTTCAAATCCAATTACAATATTTTGCCATACTGATTTTTTACCGGGTCCAGATATCGTTCGTTTAGTTCCAAATGGATGTTATGTTGGCCAACAACCTAATGTTACAGCCTACGGTAATTACTTTAAGAAAGGAAGAACCGAGTTACTTAGTGTAGAATATAAACCTGTAAATGAATTACCAGACCACCCACCACACATTATTAAACAAGATTCCCTTTATATGCCTACACAAGCTTCATTCTGTTTATCGTTCTCTGCGCCATCTCGTGAAACAGCAAATATTTATAGTGTAGTAGCTCGTTATTCTAAAATTTCAACAACAAAAAATTTGGGTGATAAGTCTAAAACTGGCAAATCATACAACTTTTCATATAATGGTAAGCATTTGTTATACTATATGCAAAGTTTTTTATTTTTTTTCTCTTACACTAATTTTTTTAATTTAAAAATATAGAGTTTCCAGAAGGAGGAGCTAAAAAACGTCATAAAAGTTCACCAATTGATTATGATGATCCATCATTATCAATGAATCATCAATTCAATGGTTTCAACCTCAACAATAACAACTATTTCATGATAACAAGTAATATTAGAACTAATAGCAATCACAACCACAATAACAGCCAGTACTACTTCAACTGTATCATTAATAATAATATTGAAGAGTTTGTATCTTTATTTAATGAACAAAATGACGATTCAATTAATAGTATTCGTGACTCACAAGGTAATACAATGGTTATGGTTTCCGCTAGAGAGGGTCATATTGATATTGCCAGATTTTTAATTAACAGAAGATGTAATCTTTTAATTAAAGGCAACGGTGGTCACAGCGTTTTTCATATGGCATGTTATTCTGGTTCTACAGCTATTGTTGATATGGTCCTATACTCTGGAGCCAATGTTCTCGCTCGTGATGATTTTGGTGCCACAGGTATTCACATTGCTGCTGAAAGAGGTCACTATGACTTGGTTAAACATCTTTTAAACACTCAACCCCAATTAGCTTGCTTAAAAGATAATCGAGGTTTTACTGGTCTTCATTATGCCGTTCAAGATAATAGCTCTCGTGTGGTCACTACTTTTATTGATTTTTTCAAAGCTGTCAATGTTTTTTCACTTAACTCTAAGGACAACAGCGGTATGACACCACTTCATTGGGCTTTTGGACTTGGTCGTCTCTCAATTGCAGAACAGCTCATCGAATCTGGAGCCGATGTTAATACAGTCGATTGTAATAACGAATCACCAATCTTTAAAGCTATAGCTTGTAGACAAAAGCATATTATAGATTTCTATAGAAATATGGCCAAAATAGATCTATCAATTGTAAATACTTTGGGAATGAACTTTAATCAATGGCTGGAATCTCATCGTGTTAAACAAGAACTTGAAGAGTTGGAGGAAAAAATAGAACAGGAACAAAAAGAAGAAGAGGAAAAAGATAAATTACTACCAACTACAACAACTACCCCAAATACAACTACTACCACAACCACAACTACTACCACGACAGGTTCGTCATTATTTAATAATCACCATCACCACACTAACAGCAATAGCAAAAACAACAACAGCAGCATTATTAGCAATAACAATAACAATAAAATTAACTATCAAGTTATTATGAAGAAATCACAGGACAGAATGGATAAATTTAAATCAGATTTTTCAAAACTAAGCTGTGGTAGCCCAATCGATATATTAAATTCATCACCCAATGAAATCGCCGTTAATGTAATTCAAAGTTATATTAATCAAATAGAAACCAATGCTGTTTCTGGTGATAATGATAGTAGAAATAGAGAGATAATTAGAAAGCTTCAAGAATCATACGAAAACACAATTAAAGGTTGGCTTGAAACAGAAAAGGAACTATATGACATTATCGAGAAAAAAGAAGCAATCGAAGATATACTCTGTCAAAAGACCGAAGAGCTCATGAGAAATCAAGAGTTTATAGAAAACTCCCCAGTCGAATTTAATAGCCTCAGAGCTGGTTGTTTAGGTTTGTTTGTTTTAAGAAATCAAAGATATTATGGCGCTCATCTAGATGATCCCATAATCATTTGCTCAAATGACTCAATGCTAGAAATTAAGAGAATGTATGGTAATAGCCTGCCAAAATGTTTATTATGTAATATTGTTTATGAAACCGAGCAACACTCGACCAAATCAACAAATTTAATGCCATTAATCGGTACCAAAATATTATGTTGTAGATGTACAAGTTTTCCAACAAGCAAATAATAGTGCAAATTAATTTATAAATTTAAACAATTATTAATAAAATTTTCAAACTTTCTTTTTTTTTTTTTCTATTAAGAAATAAACTTTTTTTTAATATTATAATTTCTTTTTTTTAGCATTTTAATAATTAAAAAAACTTTATTTCACCCATTACATATTTATTTTTATATGTGTGTGTTTTTGTGGGTTTTTTATGATTTAATCTAAATTTAAAAACTCTAAAAATAATTTTTATTATAAACAAAAAACACACGATCAAAGTTTCCACAATGATTGTTTTTTATCTTCTTATAACTGATAACAAATTAGGTTTATAAATCCTGAGGGTAGTGTTTTTTAAAATTCAACAGTTGAAAACACACATATATTTTTGTGTATGTTCAAAAATGTGTTAATATTCCTTTTTTTTTTTAATTTTTTTTTTAATTCAATTTACTTCTTTTACATACAAAAATTAATAATAAAAAATAATTTAATAAAATAAAACAAATTGAATATTTATAATAAATAACAATAACGACATGGCACCACAACCACTATCACAACCACATTTTATTTTATTTTATGTATTAATAATAATTCACTTTACTTTTTTCTTTTTTATATATGTTATTTTTTAAAAAATAATAAAAAAAAAAAAAAAATTTCTTTTTTATAAATTATTTCATTTTTTTATTTAGGTTATTTTTGTAAAAATTCTATCAACCCCCATATTATCAAAATCAAGATCTTCTAAAGAAGCAGCGGTCAAATGGAAATTTTTTTTAAAATACTTTAAAAAAAAAAATTAGTATAATTAAAAATATTAAAAAATATTTAATATAACCTCTTTTTTAGTTTTATTTGTATATAAACTAATCTCTCATTGTTTATTATTGTTAAAAAAAATTAATCTTTCGAATTCCAAAGAATAAAAATTTTTAATTATTTCTTTTTTTTTTTTTTTCCTCTCATACAAATCTTTGTTTTTTTTTTTTCCTCTAATACAAATCTTATTTAATCTACTTTAAAGTTTTTATTATTTCCTTATTTGAACAGACTTATTTTTTTGAGTGATAATAATTATATATTTTTTTAATTTTTATTTTTTTTATATTTATTTGTATTTTTTTTGTTAATTTAATTAACATAATTACTCTCGCTATATAAAAAATAACACCCCTTTAAAAAAAAAAAACAACTTAAATAATTTTTTTTTTTATCCATTCATTATTATTGTTATTATTATAATTCAACACAATATAATTATTTTCTTAGCTATAAATGTATGAATAAAAAAACATTATATCATAATAGAATATTTATAGAATATTATATATTGCTATATACTATCTATTATTTAATTTTAATTATTTGTTAATCAAATATAATATTAAACATTTTTTTTTTTTTTTAATTATAGATTTAAATATGGACGCATCCCAAAAAAAAAAATTCTCAGGTAAAGAAATTGACTCTTCACAAAAAAAAGGTTCATCACTTAAAGAAATTGACGCATCTATCTTTGGTGAAATGGTACCACTATCAGATGAATGTTTTCCAACAAGAAATTTTTTAATGGTATCACCCCATGCTCCAATTGATTACAAATATTTATTCTATGGATCAGATAGTTCACCACCAATTAAGTTATTGAAGAAAAATAATCGTAATAATTAAAGTTATAAATTGATAACAATTTATAAACACAATAATTATAAAAATTGTTAATAAATAAAAAAATTTTTAAAATTTTTTAATTTTTTATTTTAAAAATAATTTATATTGTAAACTTAATTTATTATCACGGTTTTATTGTTCTGTTATGATCATATTGATAACTTTTTTTTTTCTAACATTTCCTGAACTTGATGAACATTTAAGTCTAAAATACTTTATAGTTTCTTGGCTTGTAAATAAAAAAAAATTAAAATTTTAAGTATCACTTTTTTTTTTTAAAAATTAATGTGGATAATTTAAAATTAATCATTATAAAAAAAAGGAGATAGAAATAAATATTTAATTCTAAGATTTTAAAATCTTTGAACCTTTTTTTTAATTTCAAATATGAAAATTGGGATAATAATATAAATAGCGATAATGAAGATAACAAAAATTATAATAAGACCTGTTAATTTTTTTTGAATACATGTTTAATTTTTTAATTGTTTCCTAAATATTTAGACATTGTAATAAAAATAGCTTTAATTTTAGCTGTAGATAAGGAACTTTCAAAGAAATTGCTAAATTAATATTGTTTTATAGAAATGTTTTAAATTAGTTTTAAAATTGGTCCAATTATTATTTTTATTTAGTTTTTTTTAATAGTCTAAATCTTTAACAATTAAATTGTTGAATGCAATTGGTATACCAATGTTTTCAATCATTATGAAGTTTTGGTCAGTTGATTCAAGAGTGACAGTTGCTAATTCCCAAATATATCCTTCTGTTTTCCTATAAAGATGCTTTAACATTTCCAAAGTATTCTACACAGCTTTGATCAGAACCTGTTGCTTGGTAAGTACGGAGTTCTAAATTACCAACTACCATCGGATTTCCTCTTAAATAGATTTTAAATGCTTTTGGTTTTCTATCATATGAAGTAAAGGTTAATTGATAGCTTAGTTTAGATTGAGATTTGAATTGTAAAGAACCAATACCAGTAAAAAGCATTTTTGTTGGATAGAAATAGTTGTTGGAATAGTACATTTTATTGTTGAATGATAGTATTTTTGAGAGTCCACTTGGGTTGCACCTCCTTGAATAATTATATTGGCATCTATAATGTTTTCATCGACAAAGCACATAGTTATGCCATTTACAGAAGAAAATCCTTTCCCCAATATAAATTGGAATTCAGTAGTGCTGCCAGAGAAGTATGTGTTACTTCAATAAAAGGTGATGGTGAATATATTTGGTGTAGCCCAACTCTTAAACATATTGTCAGATATTTAGTAGTCCCTCTTCAAAATAATCAAGTTCCACAAGAGGCTATATATTGTAGATGGGTTTTATTATCTGATGATTTTACCAATGTATTTAACATATCAAAGTATGGGGATATGTAAAATAAAATACCTCACTAAACTAACAATTTTATTTCAAAGATGATTCTAATTTTTGTGTTGGTTCTGGAAGAAATCTTGCTCCAGTTTGGTGTAATAATAAATTAGTAAATGGTAGATATTTAATTATTCCAATTGATAGCTTTGGTTACCTTATCGAAACCGTTGCAATTTGGCTTTTACTAGATAGTAACAAGGGAATTGTTGATCGTAGATCAAATATAAATCTTCCAGTCCATAACAAAGAATCAATTCCATTAACTCCAAATGGTCATATTGTTGCCTCCGATTCCAATTTATTAACTGTTAATTACAATATTAAAGTGGATGATACTGTATTATCATTTACTAATAGAGGATTCAAATTACATTAAAAAATGAAGAGGTTTGGAGCCCATATGATTTTTCTCCATCTACTTCACCTGTAGCTGTTCTTAAAACAGATGGTAATTTATGTGTAAAATTGTCCGCAACTGCTCAGTTTTCCACATGGTGCACTCTCAACAATGATTTTGGAGGTCAATATCTTAATATTTTACCAGGAGGTTCATATGGTCGTAAATTGGGTATCGTTATTCAAAATAGTAAAGGCTTAATGGTTTGGAGTAGATTTGGTCCAGCTATAAGCACAATTGGTATTATGCCACTGATCCCCGGTAACTACATCGATAGATTTGGTTTATATACTAGTTTAAACCCCACAAAAAATTTTATTACCAATGGTCGTGATTATCTTATGGCCAATCATGGAGACTTTTCAATGGGACTATATATTGACACCAATCCACATTTATATCCAAATAACAAAACATGGTATTTTAGTAAACCAACACCAACCTCAACATATAGTGTTATTATCCAAAGTGATACAAATGTTTGTATCAACGATATTAATACAAAAACAAATATATGGTGTAATATGGAGCATGGACAGTCACAAAGATACATAGTCATGCCATTGCCAAACGATCAACAAGGGTAACATTAAATGATAATATGGAGTTAGTTTATTCAAGAGTTAGTTTCATTCACAGTTCAATCTATACTGACGGTAAAACTCAACCATATTTACTTTCAACAGAAGGTCTCAAGAATTCGTTCACCTCACTTTCTTATAACCCTGGCACCCTTATCTTTACAAACCTTTAAGAAAACAAACAATTAAAAAGCTATGTATCCTCACAAGAAACTCTTTTAAAGCCAAACTTTAATGGTTATGGATATAGTTCAATTAGTAAAAACTATTTTTCTTTTTTTGCTGAATTTATAGAATGTGGTATTTTTAACTGTCATTGTAAAAATACATACTTTAGTCTTAGAGGAACACCAGAAACACTCGATAGGGTGATGCAACATTTTTAGGTATTAACTCAATGATCCCAGAACTTCTTTTGGTTACAGGTAGTGGTGAAAGTCTTTCAAATACAAAATTCTACAATATATCTCATTATTATCCTAAATTTAGATTTGCTAATGTTGGAAGCAATAAAAGTATAAATTAAAAAAAAAAGTAATAGACAAAACAATAAATCAATTATATTACATCTCCATCTTCTTTCCCATCACAAAATCACACTCAACAAATAGCAAACAATAGATGGCAATGGATATGTGTTGTTTCACATTCAAAAACTTATTATATAAAGTAATAATTAAAAAGAGACTTATGTACTGGGTTTGTAAAAGCAATAATGGGATCAACTGGTGCTGGCAAATCAATTTATATATTTTGGCAAATAGAAAATGTACAGGTATTATTAGTATACGAAAAGACTATCAAAGATTTTTCCAAAGATCTACATAAAACCCAATCCATCTTTAAAGAAATTTCAACAAAAAAAATCTATTTATGTTTTGTATCCATAGTTTACATCTTTTTTATCCAAATCCAAATCCAAAAAAAAAAAAAAAAATTAAAATAAAAAACAAAAGATTTTAATATATAAAATTTATTTATTTATTTATTATTACTGCTTTTGTTACAATTGTAGCTTTTAATATAAAATATTGTTTATTTTGTTGCTGTTGTTGTTATTGTTTATGTTTATTCATAGTGTTTTAAATGTAAAAATTCAAATAAATTATCTTTTACTTTAAGAAAATTGTTGTCATCTAATTTCAAGAAAAAGTCATTGTGGCCAGTTGTTTTATTCAAGGCTTCATGGAGTGTGATGAATATTTGTTTAAATTTTGAGATGGGCATTTTATAGGTGATGATAAAGATGATTTTAATGAACATCATTGGAGACTGAGTGTTAATATAATTGGGATCTTCCTTGAATGGTTCTTCTATTGACAACACTTTTCTATATCTTAACCCGCAAACACCACATAAATCACATCCTCCTGGACCAATGCACCATTCGGCAATTCTTTCCTCTGATGTAACTTGACAAACACTGCATTCACGAATTACTTTCTTTGCTAATAGCTTTCTGGGGACATGATTATTATTACCATTATTATCCTCACTATTATTAATTGAAGTTTTTCTATAGTAATTAATATGCATATTATTTATTTATTTGTTTATTTATTTGTTTGTTTTATTATTTATATAAACTAGTATTTTTGTTTTTATTATTTTTTTTTTTTTTTTTGTTTTGTTTTGTTTTGTTTTGTTTTGTTTTTATTATATTTATTCAATTTTTTTTTTTATTTTAATTTCTGTATTATAATATATATATACTATTATATTTTTGCTTGTGTGTTTGCATAGGGCTAGTGATGCTGATAGTGGTTGTGTGAATGTGTGAGTAAGTGTTTATTTTTTTATTTTTTTTTTTTTAAGGGGCCACAAGTAATAAAAAAAAAAAAAAAAATAGATAATGATAAATGTTCTATGTGTTGTTGAAAAAAGTGTGAGTGTTAATTTGAGAATACCAAAAAAACACCCATAGTTTTTTGTTTACAATTATATTAAAAAGCTAAATATAAACTATTAATGTTTATATGATTTTGAAAAACACAGTTTTTTATTCCACACTACACAACACATTACACACAACTCCACATTAATTTTTGACCTCCTAAAATACTATTATTATAACACTTAACATATTAATTTTTTAATTTTTTATGAAATTATATGTAACTTTTTTATTAAATTTTAAAAAATTTTATTTTTTCAAAATTTTTTTAATTTTCAATTTTTTTTTTTTTTTTTCTTATGAATTACATATATATTTTTGGCATGTTTGTCTTTTAAATTTCCCCCAGGCACTTTTAGGTTACTTTATTTATTATCACTAATATTATATTAAAAAAGAGAAAAGATGAAAAAGGAATTATAAATAAAACACAGTAACACAGAAAAAATTGTAAAGATGAAATTTTTAAACTGTATTGCTCGAAAGTTATATTGTTTTTATTTTGATAGGTATTTATATTAGTTTTTATAATTTAATAATGTTCTAAATTTAGTTTTAAATTAGATACAACACCAAGAATTAAAAAAATAGAGAGTCACAAGAACATCAATCACTACTCTACCGATTTATTAGAACGCTTTGTTTTTTATGGAGTGTTTCATATAATTGATTGTAATAAAAAATTATTTTTCAAATACCACACAAAATTAATTAAAAATAAACTCACAAAAACAATCACAAACAATCACACAAAAACACATTATCACACACAAACACACATAAACAAACAATCACACACAAACACAAAAACACAAAAACACACACTCAAACATTTATATTTCTATCTAATTTTAGAAAGAAAGAAAGAAATACAACAACAAACAAAAAAACAAACAAACAAACAAACAAACAACAATAAAAAAAAAAAAATTAAATAAAGAAATAAATAAATATAATAATAATGTAATTTTTTTTTTTAAATAATTACAATTCATTTTTTTATTTATTTCATTTCTAAATGTATTCACAAAACCAAAACTATAGTTCTACTCCTACTCCTACTCCAACATTACCAATATACCCTTGTCAACCTCTACATGTAATATAATTTATTTATAGTTTTAAAACTGTATCAATCAATAGATTTATTAATTATTTTATTTTTTTCTATTAGTATTTACCAGGATTAAAAGATATTCTCGGTTACTTGTTCCCAAATAATGTTGAATATATTTTAAGAAGTGATCCGCTCAGCCACCCCCAAGAAGACAATCCTTATTCAAATTTTGACTATCAAGTTCATAATTTCACCAACGCTTTCCAACCAACTAATTCCTATTATGGCCATAACTATGGTAACACCAATGTTCAAATCGTATCACCAGTTCAAACAGTATCACCAGTTCAAATAGTATCACAAGTACCATATAAAACACCCTCAACAAACAATAGCTCTAATGTTTATCTTTAAGTAATTTACAAAAATAAAAATAAGTTTTTTATAATCATTCACCCTTTATTTTTCCAATTTTTTTTAGTTTTTTAGTTTTAAAAGAAATGTATTTAAACATTTTATAAGTGTACCAATAAAAAAAAAAGTCCTATTTTTAAACATAAAAAATACTAATAATGGTTTCTATATTATCATTGTTATTAGAATTGATAATTTTTGAAAGTTTTTTTTTATAAAATTTAAATTCAAAGGTTTTTATTTTTATTAAAGATTTTATCTACAAAAAATACATTTATATACAGGTTTTATTTAAAATAGCTTTTATCTTTGGTTGTTTAAAAAAACAGAACGTAGAGTCTCTAGAGTCATAAGCTCCATTTCTGATTGTTCTATATCACTAATTTCAGTAAAAACTTGATCTTGGCATTGAACATCAGTGTTGTTTATATTTTGTGGCTCTACTGTAGTTGTAGTAGTTGTTGTTGTTGTTATTGTTGTTGTTGTACAGTTGTAGTCATTATATATATTATTGTTATTATTTACATTATTCATATTATTATTATTATTATAAAAATAATTATTTAAATTATTATTATTAAAATGATTATAAATACTATTTGTTTGATTAAAATTGTTTTGATTTATATTGTTTTTATTTTGGTTATTAGTAATGGGTGGTTTTTGCTTTAAATAATCCATATAGTTGTAATATTTTATATTTGTATTTTTTTCTACTCCAAAAGTTGAAAAAATTCCACCAAATAAAGGAAGAGGGGCAGTTGGTTCATTTATAACATAAGACAACTTTAATTTGTGATTTAGATTCTGAGATGGATTTTCTAATGTGTATTTCAATATTGGTATGTTTTCATATATTTCTTCAATATCTTCTATTGCTACTTGCATTTCTTGATTACATTCAGGATTCATTTTTATTATTGTGATTACTAAATATTATTTATTTAATATGAGTATGGTATTTTTTTAAGGTTAAAATAATTAATATATACATATCAGTTACATACAGAAAGAAATTATGTTATGTGCAAATAATTAAATTTTAAATTTTGGAGTTGGGTAATGAAATTTTGAAAAAAAAAAAATAAAAAATTTTTAAATTTATATATTTTTTTAATTTTTTATTTTTATATTTTGAATAGATTGATCTATTATTGTAATCATGATGGAAAAAAAATTTGGAAAGGAAAGGGGATATTTCAAAATTTTCAAAGATTAAAATTTTTATTTAATAAATTTGTGTAACATGAACACATGTTTTTTTTTTTCTAAAAATTAAGGAAAAGGTCAATATAGAAATCATCACATAAAAAAATTAATTTTTTTGGTGTTTTTTTACATGGGGGTATGAGTGTGGGAAAGAATGTGTTTTTTTTTTCTAATTAAAGAAGAAAAAAAAAAACTTTTTTAAAAATAACTAAGAGATGACAAAAATATATTTTGAGAGGTTTAATAAAAGTCTATATATAATGTTTTTTTTAATAATAAAAAAATTAGCAACATTTTTGATGCAATCACATTCATTGAGATTTAAAAAAAAAAAAACACACACTAACACTCTTTTAATCACCACACATTGGCACATGTGCTCTCACACTCACAGTAAATATATAACCAAAATGCAAAGTAATTTTATATCATGTAAAATTAAAAACAGTTTTAATCACCATCTAGTAAGTTTGAATTACAATAATATATATTATAATAATATTTTATATGTATTGGTAGCATCATATAAATTTTTCATTTTAAACAAATAAATATACAAAAATAAAAACTAATAAAAATTAATAAAAAACTATAAAAAAAAATAATATAAATTTGAAAAACTTATTCAGTTTTAATTATAATGATTTTTTGTATTTTCTAACATGATTGTTGGCAGTTAATGCATGGTATTGAATATCAACACATAATTAATTTATTTCAATCTATGTTACAAGGATTAGGGTTGATTTCTTTTTATGGTCTTCTAGACATATAACATGTTTGTTTATTTATATTTGATTAAATTTAAAAAACTATTTTATAATACTATGAAGAAATCAGTTTAATATATTTATATATGTTGCTATGAAGTAAACAATCAGTTTATAAAAACTGACTGTCATTATAGGTTTGGATATAAAAAAAAATTAAAAAAATTAAAAAAAATAAAATTTTATTTTTTTTTTATTTTTTTTTATTTTTTTTTATTTTTTTTTATATTTTTATTAATAGAATTTGATGGTTTATAAAAAATATTTTTTTTATTTAGTTGGTTAAAAAATATATTTTTTTTTATAATTTTTAAAAATTGAAATGGTTTGATTAATATTTTAAACAAAGCAAAAGAGGTTAGATGGACCAACTACCAATAAAAAAAAAAGGTTAAATAATAAATTAATTTAAATCAATAAAAAAACAATCAAAAAAAACACACCAAAAAAAAAAAATAATAAATAGTTTATTCCAATTGTTAAAACAATCTTTTTTTAATTGTAAAATTAATAATTTTTATTCATTATTTTTATTTATAATAAGGAAGCTTAAGGTATTTATATTCAATTTAAAATGAATGAAAACCACATGTCAAAAGTATTTTCAAAGAAATCAAAGAAACATTACCACTACAAAGAAATTATATCAATAAATGATAATGAAGATGATGAAATTATTTCAAAACCATTTTTAGGTAATAACAATAAAAACAAAATATTTAACCAAGGAAATAGTAATAAAAGTACCAATAATAGCTCAAATAAATCCTATGACGATTTCGAAATTGACAACCCTTTGAATCAGTATCCACCATCATGCGAATATGACATATGTTATTGTGAAAAAAGAAATAAAATTGTAATAAGAGTTTTTAGGCCAACTGAAAGTTTAACAATCCAGCAAATAATTTACGCCCCCGATCATGAATTTGGAATGAAAGATCCAAAATCAACCAATAAAAACCCAAACCAATTAAACATCAATTTGTAACTATTTTAATTATAATTTTAAAATATATATTTATACGTATTAATTTTTTTTTTTTTTAGGGAAAATAAAAATAAGTAGTAAAGATAATCCATGTCTTTTTTTTAAAATAAATTAATAAATAAATAAATATAAATTTAAGTAAAAAAAAAACATAAAAATTTTATTTGTTTTTAAACTATTTGACAAAGGATGCATTTAAAGAGCATTTATAGAAATTCATATATTTTAGAAAATTAAAAAGAACCCTATATAAATATTATTAAAAACAAATAAATAAAAACTAATTTGGATATATATTTTAAAATTTTAATTTTAATTTTTATTATTATTATTATTATTTTTTTATTTTATTTTATTTTATTTTATTTTATTTTATTTTATTTTATTTTATCTTTATTTTACTATTATTGTTGCTATTGCTATAACCTAAAGGTAGATATTTGACTTTATTTTGGGGCTAATAACTTTTCTAAATAGGTTTTGAATTTTAATCTATCGCCCATAGCAGTCATACCTAAGGAACCTAATAAAATATCATTAGGTAAACTGTCAGAAATAAAAATTAATGTTTTTCCATCTATTGCACGAGCTTCAAGAACAGAAATGATTTCTGTGGGGAATTTTAATGATATTAACCAATCAATAACTTTTTGAGGTGACCAATCCTTAACGGTTTCTCTTGAATCCTTGCTATACACTATATTACTATGGAAAATTTCATTGTGATACAAGAGTCTATTAGCCATGAGAAGACTATTTCTTCTTTTGTAGTTATAGTTATAATTGTCGTTATTGTTGTTATTGTTGTTATTGTTGTAATTATTATTGTTAATACTATTATTCATATTATTATAATTACGATTATTATTATTCATATTATTAAATCCATAATTATTATTATTGTTATTATTATTGTTATTATTATTATTATTATTATTGGGTCTACTGATTGGGAAAGAGGCTGTAGTTGTGGTTGTAGTTGTTGTAGTTGTGGTAGTATTTTTAACACTATTCATATTATTATTATTGTTGTTTATACTATTATTCATACTATTATTCATGTTATTACCGTTAATACTATTAATTGAATTTGATAATGATGTTGATGATGATGTTGGTGTTGGTGTTGATGTTGATGTTGATGTTGGTGAATCTTTCTTTTTTTCTTTCTTTTTCTCTTCTTTTTTCTTTTTTTCTTCTTCTTTTTTCTTTTCTTTTATTTCTTTTTCTTTTTGTTTCTCCATTTGTTTTTTAGCTTTATCTTTTTCTTTTTTCTCTTTTTCTTTCAACTTGATTTGTTTTTCATTTCTTCTATCGA